CTTGTTTAATAAGGATGATGGTACCCTCAACCTTGAGACTGTCAGTCTGGTGCCAGCAAACTATACCTGGATGTTTTGCTCTGAGTTCAATCACAGGTATGATTACCTGCACAGCCGTTCAGCTCAGAGAGCATTTTAGCTCTGATTATTTAAACTCCTTTTATTTTGTTTCACAGCTGCAGTGAAACAGACTCATCCTGGGATGAGGTCCCAAATGCATTTAAAGCAGACTCTGATGTTTCCTGCAACAAGCCGATCAAGAGCTCAGTGAGACGAGAGCTCGGGGATGGACATCATTTAAAGTTTTGTCTGACAAACTCAGTTGGCTCCTGGTGCCAAAGTTACCACATAATCATCCCACCTACAGTCCAGTACTCTATAGGTAATAAAGAGTATTTGCATCAGAAAATATTTGATGAAATTCATTTAAAGCTGTCATGCTCACATTGTCGTTTGTAGGTAAACAACCTCAGGATATCATATTCCTGCTGAAAGCAGGCAATATAACTCTCTTTCTGGCTCTGGTAGTAGTCAGCACAGTGCTCATATTCTTCATCAAAAAGAAGGTAAATATATTCAGCTTTTTTAACAAACACAAATAGAAGAGGGCACCAAGTCATTTGTCTTTGCAATATAAACCTCAGTATCAGCCTTCAAGGGAGATTAATTGAATCTTTCATGGTTTTTGTTTGTTTCATAAGAGTTTGGTATCTCTGTCACAGTAATGTATTTGTGTAGCACTTTTTAAAACACAGTTATAAAGTGTTTCGCACTCAGGATAAAGCTGTCATATCCAACAATGGTCATGTTTTCAGAAGACTGTGTTCAGTTTTTAAAAGGTTTATTTTACAGAATTTCAGATCAATGGGGGAGAGTCTGGAGCTACAAGAGTCTCGGGTGAGTGTGTGTTCACCGAACGAGAACGGTCTTCTGCTAGAGAAAAACAGGTGAGAGATATTTTATTGGGATGAGGATTTGAGGTTTTACTTGAATATTTTTCCAGAGTAGCTGGAGGAGTAAGTAGAAGGTCAGAGTCTAAGGATTCACACAAAAATTACAGAGATAGTTTACTGCAGCCAATGCCACAAGAACCTGACAAGGAGAGTAGGCTTGAGCTGGTGCTTAAATACATGGAGGTAATAAACTGATGTGAAACAGGTGTGTTGGCTACAGCAGTGCCAACCTAGTCTCCACCTCTTTTACAGAGACAATTTCGCAGTTACAACCAGACATGACTAACCTCTCACCTACAAATGAGTCTACTAATGTGTGTGTGTGTGTGTGTGTGTATGTGTTGACCTTACATGCTCTCTCATCTCACCCGTTGCACTTCTGACCTTTCACCAGACCAGAGGCTCATCCTTATGTGTAATAACCTAACTGAAACTACATGTACTATGTTGAATAAATGTTTTAATCAAGAACCTCTACTAAGAGCTTAGTAAAAGA